AAACAGGCTTGGGGCTTAAGAGGTTAAGTCAAACAAATCTTATTTTGAGTTGTATCTCAGATGAAACACATATTTCTTTACATATTTATTAGAACATCACCAACTAACATCAGAAAACAGAAAACGTTTGAGCATTTGCGGCTTATATGGAACACAACATTTCCTGATTCAAATATAGTTCAAAATTAGTTCTCCCAGCTGATTACAAGATCTGATTTATCTAAATATCACTTATTTCAAGAAATCTTACCAAGCAAATTGTCACTTGTTCTATTGGCAGATTTGTGTACTTATTTCAAGGGAAAACTGCTTGTTTTCATTATTATTTAACTTGTTTTTGGAGCAGCATTTGTTCCAGTGTATGTTATCTTCTGCTTATTCTATTTATTTCTCTATCAGAGTTTTTTCCTAAATGTGCAAAAAACATAAAACCCTGGTGATGCATTATTAAACGATTTGACTCACTTCTTCCGGCAATATTGATGCGTGGATATTTTCTGCAGCAGGCATTAAGTCCGTGTTTGAGCAGTTTGTTGCAGCCTGTCAGACAGAAATAAACATCGTTAAACAGGATCAGTCCAAGAAAAACAGTTTAAAACAACATTATAATCCACAGCACAACATTCACGTTCAACCAGACTCTCTCCAGCCTGGAGGAGCTGAATCAAAACAAATCGACAGTGTGCTATTTCTCACTTTGTTTATAGTTGTTGCTTTTCTCTTGGAATTTGATCGTGCCAAGTTCAACTCCAATTAAATCCTTTGAAAATAATAGTTTGGACTTGAAATGGCAGCAAAATCACAGCTGAAACCAATTTTCTAAACGAAAGCTTGTTAACAAACAGATAATTAGAAGTTATAAGTTACACCTGTGCCTCTCCTGCGCTGAAATGTCAGAAAGAGCCTGTGAAGAGGGTCTAATTTGTCCTATTTTTACATTATAGCCAAGTCTAATATAATGCACTAAACTCCCTTTTTTCACAGTCTTTCATTTAAAGAGCTTACGAAATGCTATCCATACGTGTTAGTGGGCGTGGTGTGAGATAGAGGTTGCATTTTTATTGTGAAATGTGCCATATATATTTTGTATTATTGATGTATTTTGAATAAATCACGATTATAACAGCATACAAAAGTTGTCTGTTAGTAACAATCGTTCATCGGGCCCGGAAACATCAACTTCATGTGTCTGCCTTCATTTCGTAAGCTCTTTAAGTTATTTACTTTATTCTGTAAATACTGTACGTGCCAAACAGGGTTTATTGTGCGAGTGTTTCTACGAAGCTGAAACACAACACTTTGTTTGGTTAGGTATCTTTCACCATGGAAATTACACCATCCTGCAGGACGGGAAGTAAATACGTCAGGATGGAGACGAGTCAGGGTCAGAGGTGAAGTCATGGAGCATGCTTTGTCATAGTATCACCTCCTAGTTTTATCTGTGAAGGAAACAGACTGAAGAATAACGTTTTTTTATGAAGCGTGTTTTGTTAAATGAAGCTATGACAGTGAAGATTTCCCGTGTGATACTCGAGTCAGGGTCAAACACAATGTTTTGTTGATGAATCTAAATGTTTCTTCACTTTCCTTCTTCCTGCATCTCTCTTGCATATTTCCTTGATATGATATTACATTTCAACAATGTTTTTCTAACTAGACTAAATTAATGCCTCTTAAGCCAAACATCCATCTAAAAGAAGATATATTCTGCTCATCTTCAGGTTCATAGCAGTATTTAGTGTCTCTACTGTGACATGACTCCATGCTGGCCATGTCTCCATGCCCAGTCTGCTCTGATTGGTTAGCTGACCAGCTCTTTTGTGATTGATCAACGGCCAAAACCTACTTAAGACACTACGGGAAAAGGAAAACCCAAAAAGCATAATAGGGTCTCTTTAATGTCTCTTAAAACATCCATAAATAATGTGTTTACTAAATCGTCTGAAGTCAGCGCTGAAGATCTCTGGTTGATTTTTATAATATAGAGACATAAAACCTACAATATAATAATAAAGCTTAAAGGTAGGGTAGGTAAGAATGGAGAAACAAGCTCGAGTGCGCTAGAATTTGAAAGTACACAAGCGGAAAAAATCTGCCCCTTCCTTCAGACTTCCTTACAGAGCCCCTCCTCCAACACACATGAACGCGCACATGACCAATGAGGGCACGAGATAAGTTTGTGCAGTTATTTTAGCCGGGCGGCTCAGATGATTGGTCATGCTTTTTACAGCGCCACGGCTTCCACAGATGAAATGTTTTAATGTATTTATTGTCAAAGCATTTAATGTATTCATTGCTATCGGGATGTTAAGAGCATTCCATGGAATATAACAACAAGTGTTTCTGAAGTGAATTACCTACCCCACCTTTAACTTTGTGTGTAGCTTGTTCCCCGAGATGCCTAAAACATGATGAATAAAAAACAGCTTTACAATAAAATCATCACACTATTCAGAATCATGCTTTAGACGAAAAATACAGCTGGGATATAAACTACAATAAAAAATCATGAAAAATAATTCCCTGAGTTAACATGAACATACCTGAAGCTTTATTAGATTTCACGTAAAGAGTGCTGGAACATCTTAACTGTTAAGCCCCAAGGTCCCCGCTGGCGGGTACCCTTTTCGGTTTTTTTCACGACACAGTGTCTCAGGGGATCTTAATATTTAAGAACCTATTAATGTGTTACCAGATTAATGGAAATAATCTCAGCTAACTGACGATACAAACCATTTTTACCAAAACAAAACACAAGTCTCATAAGAAGCATCTAAATGACCCCTGAGCGAAAAATGCTAACCTATTACTGCACCGATAATCACTCCTAGCTTCCTTATTACTTATCCTAGGTGCACATCCAAGACATCGTATATGATCGCAAGGAGACACAGAATCTAACGGTGCCCACTTCAACACTGAAAGATACAAACTCGCGACGTTATCAACAAAAACGTACATCAAAACAAGTGGCGCTAGGTAGCCCACAACGCTAACATGGCTTACCTCCGTCTTTGCCTGGTCTAAACTGGTCTTCAATGGCATTAAAACGATAACAACGATGATGTAGTTAATCCATAGGTTAATATCCAATGTGGCTGTGTCCCTTTTAAAATATTCTGATAATCTATAAGCAATAAAACTGCAATTCCGTTTTAAAATAGTAGAGCAGGTTCTGTAGCTTAATTGAATGCGGGAAGACGTCACCTTTTTTTTTAACATGAGTGTGTGCGGGACGATTTCCCTTCGATTCTATTGGCTCTAACGATCAGGAAGAGATGTCACATGTCAAAATCGAAGAAGGGGGGCCAGAGATATGGAAAATCCACCCAAATGGCCCCAGAAGAGGGTTTTTTTTGCTAAATCTCTCTAAAAATGTCAAATTTAACTTGTTTTGCATCAATCTTGATACAGGGTACTTATTATATGTTGTAGTTTGGATTTCTAAAGCTTTTAGTCGGACGGACACAATAATTAAATTTTTTTTTACTGTGTTCAATCTGAATTTACTTTAAAATAAAAACATCTATTGATTCTGACACTTCTACATCCAACTCACAGGTGTAACCTTGCTTTGAGAAAAAAGATTATTAATTTAACCCTTTTAGAAGGGAAGATATGGTCATTTGTTCTAGGAATGTCATTTTCGAGCCTGAGACCTGAAAAACAGGCTCAGGGCTTAACAAGTTTGTACATGAAAGCATCTGCTCTCTCAGCATCTTTGTGTGTCTTGTTTTCATAAAATGATTCAGTAAACTTTGTGAAAAAACTTTCTTTGAGGCTGTTCAACATTTACGATCTTTAGGATCCACAGGGTTCTTCACGTCTGGTAATGCTGCATTCAATTATAAGTTGGACCTTGGGATTTTATACTGCCGAATTGGGGGGGGGGGACAATTTGAGAGGACTTTTCTGTCAGATGGTGATGCACATTTTACATTTCTGCTCTTCATTCACAAATGAGCTGCGTCAGAGGTCTGCAATACAATCGACATTTTTAGAGAAACATTTCCAGATTTTTGTAGCAAATGTTGTTCTCTTTAAAGTTCACCTATTATGCAAAATCCACTTGTTCATGTCTCTTCTACATCAACATGTGTCCCCTCTTCTTCATGTCTCTTCTACATCAACATGTGTCCCTCTTCTTCATGTCTCTTCTACATCAACATGTGTCCCCTCTTCTTCATGTCTCTTCTACATCAACATGTGTCCCCTCTTCTTCATGTCTCTTCTCATCAACATGTGTCCTCTTCTTCATGTCTCTTCTACATCAACATGTGTCCCCTCTTCTTCATGTCTCTTCTACATCAACATGTGTCCCCTCTTCTTCATGTCTCTTCTACATCAACATGTGTCCCCTCTTCTTCATGTCTCTTCTACATCAACATGTGTCCCCTCTTCTTCATGTCTCTTCGACATCAACATGTGTCCCCTCTTCTTCATGTCTCTTCTACATCAACATGTGTCCCCTCTTCTCCATGTCTCTTCTACATCAACATGTGTCCCCTCTTCTTCATGTCTCTTCTACATCAACATGTGTCCCCTCTGTGGAAAGAGACTCTGAAAGTTTCAGGAAAAAAGATTCTCTCTCTTTTTGTCCTGATCCATTTATATAAAAACCTGTCTGAAAATGAGCTGATCAGATTTTGGCCACTTTGTGATGTCATAACGATGTTTTTGGCCCAATCACCAACCAAGGTAACCCCCCCCCCCCTTATCACCTGAATCTCCTCCTAGAGCACCATTGTGTTCTTTTTAACCAAATCTCTCTCAGAGGGGCGTGGGGAGGGGCTCCTTATTTTCATCTAAAGTAACAGACAGAGAATCAGCACTTTGGAAACAGGGCTGAAACAGAGGGGATTATGGGTAATGCTGCAATGATCTGTTTGGTGTTGGAGCCAAACACTTCAGAGACATGTTCTGTATATATCTGAGACCTATAATATATTGATGAAAAACAGTATAATAGGGGACCTTTACCTTCTTTTGGTTGTGTGCAGAAATGGGACGCGAACCTGAAGGTGATCGCTGAGGGTTACGCTGCTAAATGCATCTGGAACCACAACCCAGATCTGATGGAAACCGGAGAAAATCTGTTCGCCGGCACCGGACCGCTGGACATCCGAGAGGCTCTGGAGAAATGGTTTCTGGGTAAGTGCAGTCGACCAAACTCCATCTTGGAAAGGCCACATTTTGAATAATTTCCTTCAGTATCCAAACTTCTCCATCAACAAATATCAGAGAGACACAGTCGGCTATTAATGATAAAGAGAGAGGAACATTTAGTGGCTGAAGATAAACAGATATTTCTTCTGAGGAGTCGGTGGAGACCAAAATCAGAGCAAAAAGAAGAGTGCATTTTGGACTTACAGGCGGACTCAAACAAAACAACAGGAACAAAACACTGAATTTCATGATGGATAAAGTTTATTTAGCTGATATTGCACTTCAAACAGAGCCTTTGTTAAATACTGCTTAAAGTATAGGTTAGTTGATGCATCAGTAAAAATGCTGATATAATATATGTACAAATATGTGAATATTTTATAATAACTATTCTGTTATGGGACCTTTCTGCATCAGAAGTACTTCTAATTTAAATACTTTAATTACGTAAGGTTACTTCAGTTATGAATGCAGAGGGGATTTGTAACGTATACTTAAATAAATGTTGTATTCATATTTATTATTTATAATGTATTGAAATGTAATTGATTCCCGTAGAACATCTGGACCATGACTTCCAAAACAACAGCTGTACTGAAGACAAGCTGTGTGGACACTATACACAGGTCATATATAAATACACACATTTATACACTCGCTTGTATCTCTACACTTGGCCTGAACTTGGTGTGTGTGTGTGTGTGTGTGTGTGTGTGTGTGTGTGTGTGTGTGTGTTACAGATGGTGTGGGCAGACACACACAGGGTCGGCTGTGCTTTCCATTTCTGTAACAACATGGAGGGTCTGGACTGGGAGAGAGTCTCATACCTCGTCTGCAACTACTACCCACCGTCAGTACTACTACTTCTACTACTCATACTACAACTACCTACTACTACTACTACTCATACTAAAACAACAACTACTACTACTACTACTACTACTACTACTCATACTACAACAACTACCTACTACTCAGGGGCGGATCTAGAAAAATATTCATGGGGTGGCAAGAGGGTGGCAGGAGATTTTGAGGGGTGGCATCCCCTGGCAGAAGAATATGCTGATTTAATCGCAGTCATATCAATCAATGTTAACTTGGAAAGCCACAATTTTGATATTTTAACTCAATAACATTAGGTGACATTATTGTGGCACAACAGTAAATCCTTAAATAAAAATATATAAGGTGGCAGACATAATTTAATGAATTTTAAATGAACAATAACTGAATGAGTTTGTTTCACTCTTAGACCAGGGGTACCAAGTATATGCAGACTGCAGCAACAAGTACATTAACTAGCTGTCTCATCGATGTTTGTCTGAATTAATATGATAATATTAACAATCATATTATTCCTATCAGCTGTCAATCACTTTTATGAATCACATATTCAGTGTTATTATTAAATAAACTATATTTTTTGGAGGAGTTAATGATGAATGTTCCTCAAGATGCTTGCTCACCCTCCTTCAAATTTGAAAGACAAGTAATCACGATCATATATCAAAATTCAAAAGAATCAAAAGAACAGTTCAGCGCCCCACGACTTTACTGCAAACAGTTAAAACCTTGACTTTACATCAGAAAGTGACTAACTGCATCAGTTAGGGTTAAAAAACGTGTATTCAGCTAAAACATACATCGCTGCAGTTATTATCCAGTGGAATGTCCTTACCTACTAGCCTAGTTAAATCAAATTGAAAGCGGCTAAGGTCATCATCTTAACTGTTTTTTATGCTCATCCGTGAGCAGAGCATCAAGTTGGCATATCTATTACAGCTGAATGCGGCGATTACCATGTTGTTCAGCAAAACGCCTCACAAAATGAGTAAGATCCAAAGCTTTACTGCGTTTTGATTCAATGCTGATTACAGCCAAAGTTGACAGTCTCTTCTCTGTCATTGTAGACCGCAAATACCTCATTCCTTCCGTCTACTTGGGTCCGAATGCTTCTCGTTTTGCGCCGTCCCGTTCAAATGAAATCGCCGCCAATCATATTTCCGCGCTCGCGCCAGGGCCCGGGGGAGGGGTTACAAGACTCGCGTCTTGTGCTGCATTCACTTGCACTCGGACATTAGAGACTTTTTCTCATAAATGTCCGATGAGCCACAACTTTTCTTTCAAAACAAAGCTGCCAACTCCATGCCACCCAGGTAGATCCGCCCCTGCTACTACTACTACTACTACTACTACCACTACTACTACTACTACTACTACTACTACTTCTACTACTACTACTACTACTACTACTACTACCACTACCACTACCACTACCATTACTACTACTACTACTACTACTACTACTACTACTACTACTACTACTACTACTAC